CCACTTGATGCAGTTACCACAAGTGGGTTCATCAACCCACTCAAAGAAATCACACTTCTGCCTTGTATTGAAATTAGGACAACCAAAGAACTTCCTGTCGGGATTCCTAGGTGTCCGAGACTTGCGTACCACAGCCGGAATACCACAGTCGAACATCTTTAGGTTTGACGATGATAAACATGTAGAATGCCCTGAAAATACACTTTGACAACCGTCTCCACCCATTCTACCTTCGATCAGACTTGTGTGCATGACACAGACAGACACACAAGAGTTCAAAACATACAACATTAATTAATTTATTAATACAACAAAATCTGATACTGAGAGTGAATTTTTTTTTTAGAGGGGTGGGGATTAACAACTTTACAGATGATATTTAAATTAATTTTTTTAAGTCAAAAACTAGGGTACTATTAATCTCGAAATGACTACAATATGGGATGTTTGTGAAGGGTTACCATAATGACAAATTCGTACTGTCAAATATCCAAAAACACTAAAAATATCAAGTATCAAACCACGAAAATGCAGTCAGAAATGCACCTGACGACGTCTTTTTCAATGTTGGGTGGAAAACGACAGATGTTGACGAAGAAATATTCGTGGGTTTCGATAGCTTACCCAGGAAGGTCTTGGACACGGTTTGGACGGAGGAACGAGAGGGGTGGCACAAGGCAGCTTTGTGATTGTCGATTAGCTCTCTGGCAGCCCTTAATGTCTGATACAGAGACAAGTCATGCAAAATGAAGAAAAGAAAAACAAACGAAGACGGAGACACACAGACAACCCTACTATAAAAAGAACGTTTAAAACAAATTTTCAAACACGATGGGTAATTTTGTAATTTCATTCCACATTTCCACATATTTTCACAACCAACCAAACATAGCATTATAAAAATAACTCAACATTTTCGACAAAAATGTTGGCCTACCAAACACCTTTTTGTAACTTGTCCAAGATAAAAAAAATTCCCGCCATATTCTCAGTAACTTTTTTTCCTGACGAAAAAAAAAAATCTCTTATACCAAACACCCCCCTAAGTCTATCATCAAATAAATGATGAAAGGAGAATATACAATTTAGAGTAAAGCTCCCTTTTGGATCCGTAACAAAAAACACGATCCCGACTTTCGTCCCTTACAAAAAAATCCATATTAGTCCTTTTTTAGGGACTAAATTGGGTCTTCATTGAATTTCTGAGGGATCATATTTTCAATGAACTAGAATTGTAGAGAGACTAAAAGTTGACTTTGTTTTTGTAAGAAACAAAAATGGAGACCATATTTTTTGTTAGGAACCCAAAAGAAACTTTACTCTACAATTTATGTTATTTTATCTCCGCTGTCATATCCATCAATCAGGCTTAAATTTTGAAGCCCATGTCCTAAATTAAAAAGTTGTGTTGATAGAAATATTCCAGAAAAATTGATAAATTTAAATATATGAATTTTATTCTTCCAGATTTGTTATCAACATAATTTCCACGCTTGCTTCTTTTTAAAATTCTAAACCTTTTCAACTGTATTTTTTTAAATTTATTATTTACTACCCAAATTATTTAATACCAAAATTATTTAATAATGCATGCTCGATTTAAATATTAATAATTTCAATACTAAATTCTAAAATCTCACAACTTGTGTAATTCACAAACAAACTTGTGCCATGTTTTATCAAGTTTATACTTTACTACAAACAAAATCTCACAAATTCTTCAATCACATTATGACACATTTAACATAACTTATACTAAGTTTTTAATATGTCCTCCAGAATGTAATGGTCTACTTCCATTTAATAATATTGTTACATATTATATTTATTTAACATACCTTTTTATGTTAGAAAATATAATTTCTCGTATTGCAATGGATAATTTGTTAACATACAAAAAAGTGAGTGGAATTCACTTACTTTTTTTCTCTTATATATTTCACTCAATGAATTCCACTAATTTTTTTTGTGTGAGTGTTATGAAAAATTATATTTCCTTTAATTTATGAGGATTATATCCCTCGTGTTGTTGAAACTAGGGAGATGTATTAGATTGAGGTTTCAAAGGATTTTAATGGATTATTTTTGGATAAAAATCAATTGGTATTCAATTAGGACTTTAAAGGATTGAAAAAAAGTCACGTAGTATTCGATTAAGATTTTAAAGTTTATTTTAGAGTTTGTCAAATCTGTTGGTATTCAATCAGGATTTTTGTTGAGAAATATAGTCTCACATTGGTTGTATGGGCAACTAATGTGAAGTTTATAAGGCCTTGGGCACTCCCACCCTTTGAGCTAGCTTTTGGGGTGGTGACCTCAAGGTTCTTAATATGGTATCAGAGCGTTCGAAATCTCACAGCCTCCCACTTTCTTTGTAGTGGAATTTCCACATGTAGGTGTGCTTGTATGTTGTCCACCCTTCAAGTCCAGTGGGCTCTCGTGTGAGGGGGCGTGTTGAGAAATATAGTCCCACATTGGTTGTATGGGCAACTAATGTGAGATTTATAAGGCCTTGGGCACTCTTACCCTTTAAGCTAGCTTTTGGGGTGGTGACCTCAAGGTTCTTAACAATTTTGAACAAAGGAAAAACAATCTTGTGGTATTCAAAAATCTAACGATTTTAATGAATTTTCAATTGATGTGGATTTCGTGAGACTTTTTAGTTAGAAATATAAATAAGATGTCTTTCTCACCATCTCACCCTAACCCCTAGGATTTCTTGAGATTTCTATATTGTAGTGTCTTCTTCTTCCTTTATTTGATTGACCCGCTCGAAATCGATTTTCGCCATGAGAGTTTTGTCAAAACTTCAAAAAAGTAAATTTTTGAGCGATTTTTATCTCAAAATAACCCAGAAACAACAAAGCAACAAAAATCTAATATAATAATTTTTCAAACTATGAGTCGCGATTTTTCTTAGCACAAAAATTTGTGATTTTTGTATTGAAAACAACATAAAACAGTGGAAAAACAACAGGGGAACTAAAACCCTTAAACCAATTTTCATTTTATATCAATGAAACAATATCAATTTAAAGAACGATTGAAACTTTCATAATATGAACACTATATTTAGTAATAATACATTCATGAACGAAATTCTTTCGCTATAGGAAATGATTTCAAACAATTTTTGTGCCTATAGATAACTAAAAACTTGTTGTTCAAAAGCCCCAAAGCAATTTAAGACTTCAATATATCGGTTGAAAATAAATTGAGAAATTTTCTAAACTTTCATGAAATAAAATCTAAAAATTTGTTTACCAAAAAATAAAATCCATAAATTCCCAAGGTTAGAAAATTTATGGATTGAAATTTGTTTAAGACTTCAATATATCGATTGAAAATTTTCTTAGAATACTCAATGAAAACATGCATATGATATATGGTTAGAAAACTCTCGTCACGTACAACAAAATTCCCAAGGTTTCCAAGATCAATTGCAAAATCTTCCAAACGAAATTTTATCATGAACTTTAGATTCTATATGCAAATTTAGAATTATTTTAATAAATAAATTTTTTTGGGTATTATTATCATATATGCAAAGCTCTGATATCAAATGAAGAACATGATTTTTAACTCATTGGTCAAACACAAGAAATGCTAATGCGTGGAGACTAGTATAACTTTAGATATTTGGAGAGCTATTGCTTAGTAATTTTGAATGATTTTAAAAATTATATATGTTTTACTGATTGAGAAAATTATATTAGATTTTATTTTTTTTATTAATATTATTGCATTTCTTTGTTTTTTTTATGGGAAAAGTGTTTGTCATTTTAAATGACAGAAAGTTATGTCATTTTAAGAGAGATACAGACACAGAAAATTTGAATTTTAAATAAAAAAAACCACTCACTTTCTCTCTCCCATGATTTCTGTTTTTCTGTGTCTGTCTCTCTCCTAAAATGACATAACTTATGTCATTTAAAATGACAAACACAAAACTCTTTTTTATTGACTATTGTAATTTTGAATGTTTGTTAAAAATTCATATGATTTTTTAAAATCTTATAAATTCATATTATTCCTTCAAATCTTATAAATTCTATTAAGATCCTTTAAATTTTAATCTTATGAAATCTTGAGTGTAAAAAAGTCTTTTAAAAAAATCTTAAAAGTCCCTCCAATTTTAAATAATCTATTAAAATCTATAAAAGAATTTATCTCAATAAAATCGTTTAAGATCCTAATTTTTTTTTGAATTTATTTAAGATGCTAATTGAATACACTTTCCTAAATTTTTCGTCACCAAAAATTTGGTTTGCTGAATATAATTCTCTTAGGGGGCGTTTGGTTGAGGGTTTCCTATAATTTGTCTATGCAAATAAAAGTGGCAAAGTATGACACCCATGTTTGTTAAATAGTTTTTCTTTAAGGGGGTGTTTGGTAGGAGGTTTTGGCAAGGATACCAAGGCAACTTGAAGTGGGTTTTCAATTTGCCTAAGTTTGGTACAAGAGTTACAAAAATTTGGATAGCAAAATCCTTTCCCCATCCAACTTGATTTCTTTGCAATTTTTTTTGGTTTGCACTGTTTCAAAAACCCATGTTGGGGGTTGTATTTTAGGGGTTTGATGGGGAAAGTAAAAATTGAGTATGTATTTTGAATTTCAGCAAAGTAAAAATTGTTGAAACAATGACTCCAATTAAGCTGGCTTTTACAAACTGTCATTCTAGACAAGGGTTGATCAGATTCAAAAAATAAAAAGGGTTAATTTTGTAATTTCAACTCATTTTCCCATCTATATTTTACCTTCAACCAAACATAGAATTCGAAAATTTAAATCAATTTCTCTGGTAATATTTTGGTCTACCAAACAATATTTTTAAAATTTTCCCACTAATTTGAGTTTACAACTATTTCTCCACTATTTATATTTACCTAGTTAAAAAAAAAAAAATTCCTCTACCAAACACTCCCTAAGTTCCCCATCTATTATAGTTGCGTAGCATTCTTCATCTGGTTGTAGAAAGTAAGCTATTGGCAGTGCTAGGAAAGAAAAATTGGAGGTGATTTTTTCTCGTTAGACGGAGAAATGGCAAAAGTGGAATCGAAATAAGACTGTAATATCCTCGTGTAAAGCGTGAAGAAAGAGGGGAAGAAAAATAGAGATAGCAGCGCCCGTGAGTGTAAGTCTCCATAAGCTTATCTTCCTTGTGTGGGTTGAAGAGGAAATCTGGAAACGGCGACCGGAAGATGTGATTCTCCATGTTCGAATCACATTTGTGAAATGAAAAGGAAAATTTTGTACCGTTAATCTCTATTTTTGCTGGCTAATTTTTTGCTTGGGTATTTTTCTGAGTTTATACATATGAACAGTCATTCATGTAGCTTATGGCAGATGAACTTGGTGATTTTACCGCTTAGCTCAAGCTATCTCTTTTCTAGCTTGGAATCAGTCCTCAGATAATAGCGTCCATTATAATGCAGGTATTCCCCCTTTAATTATTGAGTTTGTTAGACAGATATTTGTTGCGAAATTTTACTTTCTGTTAATTTGAAGGCCTAAGGAAGATTAACTGCCTTTAGTTATATATAATTTTCAATTCTTTGATCTTTTTGCTAGTGTGTTGCATCATCATGAAGTATGTGATACTATTATAAATGAAACCAGTGGTGTTCCTCTTTTAAAACGAAGTAGACCTTTGAAAAAATTGCGCTCAGTACTTTTGATTACATAAGGAAATGATTCTTTTCGTAAATAATTATTTTGCAAGAAGAATGGTTAAGTACTTGGCTGTGAAGAGAACTGAGGTTTTCTATCTGATACCCATTTTTCTTGTATATGCTCTATTTATTTTTTGAAGTTTTCACCTTTTATGAACTGCATTTATTCAAAATATTCATTTGCAGGTACTCTGTCATATCGTTCCTTCTCTTGTAAAGTTGCGGAAAGAAGGTCTGGATGGGCATGAGAAGATTAAGAGTTATATGTGGGTCTATTTATCCATCTTGAGCAGTGAGATAATTTCTTGCTACACATTATTTTTATAGTTCCCTTCATCTGATTCATGATTTAATGAATTTCAACTAATGATTTGTTCTGCAAATTTCAGATGGTGGATGTCACTTGGCTTTACAATTTTGGAAGCTCTAATAGTTGCTTGCTACTCACTTCCATATTCAATTTACGGTGCTAGTTATAGGTAATCCGCATCGAAGAGTACTTTCCAAGCATGATTTCATTCATCTAACAAAGAGTTGAACTACCAATGTTTTCCTCACAAGTTGATGCCATAAGTAGGGTTAAATAGATGATTTTCCATATATTTTTATCCAAACAGATGTCTTTAAATAATCTTAAGACATAGCAGAGCCGATGGCCTTCATTACATAGGAAATTGCCAATTTAAAGGGGCTGACTGCTAATATGAGAAAAAGAAAGATAAATGAGAGTTTTTTCTATGCATTTTTTTTTCGATTTATGTGTTTCATTTAATATTTTCAATAACATGAGAGTTATTCAGCAAAGCAACATGATATGGCAACTTTTACAAGTGCTCCAAGCTAGGAAGAATCACATGGGCCTCTATTTGACGGAGAACCACTTTTACAAGTGCTTCTAACAAGGCACAAGAGGTAAAAGATCTGTAAAGCGAGTAGGAGGTAGCAGTACTGATTTTTCTGAGTGAAATTGGCTGTGTCCATTTGAGTTTGTTGTTGTGCACTTTTAGATTGACCCCCTGAAGTAATATTTAGAGTACTGATGATTCTGTTGTTATTCAAGTAATATTTATTTGACTTTTACAGCTTCCTTTTAAGCTTTTATTCTCTCTGCCCCTCTTCTGTTGTTTTAATTCTTTAGTAGTTTTTGCTTGCTGTTTCTTATGATTGGCTGGTTGTGTGAACTTTATTATTTAGGTATGCCATTTTATTTTCTCAATTCTTTCTGCCCGCAAGGCCACACTTTATTCTTATTGGATAGGTTGGTGAATGGTGAGATCCAAGGATGCCAAGTAATTCTCACATGTGAGATGCCTATACATATCATTCAGATTAAATGATCTATTGTAAAAGGAAACTGCCTAGTTTTTTTATTACTCTTTAAGTTTTTCCTTCTTTACCTTCGGTATAGTTTCCCCCCTATTATGTGATTTTAGCTATTGAAGTTTTATTTTCCTATGATGTGTTGTGTTATTTGAAAAATAGAACCCAATAGCATGAGTCAGTATTCGATGGTTTAAGAGGTATATGAATATAATAGTATTGTGCATCCATGGTCTCATTTTCTTTCATGGCATATTACTTTTTGTGATGCTACTCCAGCTGATGAAGTCCTTTTTTTGGTCATGAGCATATGGGTGATCGAAGTGGTGTGGTAATGTTACTTCCATCAGCCTGGCATGATTGACACCATTGCAGATGGAATATTCATAATTATTGTCTTCCAACATACCCTCTGGATGAAAAGAAGATATGCAGTCCAAGTGAGAGTGTATTGTGGTGTTATATTGATATAATCAACTTGATATGCAGCAAAGTTAGAGGAGAAGATGGATTGAAAGAAACTGTCCACATTGTTAGTGACTGATTATAGATACTATATATATATATATATGTATCAGACCCTACCTCTAGTTCCCTTAGCCATATATGTACATCTGTGATATTGTTCTACTGGTACAGTTTCAGCATTGGTCCTGTCAAAATATTTCAATTTTAATTTATGTATTCAAAGTGTATATGAAGGCAATGATTGAACTAGTACTCCTGCACATTATTGTCAATTCTGAATTTCTGAAATATTGTGCTGTGCACCTATTTCGTTCGCAAATGTCATTTTGACTTGAACAGCTCAATATATAAAGGCACCAATGAAAACAAAATATGTAATTCAATATGAGGTACTCAAAAGTGTGAAGGTATTAATTTAATCACTGAAAACTGTCTACTTGAAAAGAATATACAGATGATAATTGTACATCACTCGGATGAAAGTTATAATTCAATCTATCAAAGTACAGCACTCAATTCGTGAACATTGCAATACTGCTCTTCTTATACACATTCAGCCCAATGTATGAACTTATGAGATCCTACAAAGTTAAATGAATGACACAGCTATTAAGTTCCTCTTCCACAAATGATGATAAGTTGAAGTGCTGCATTATCCAATAATAGGTGTTGACTTCAGATTCATTACATGTGGTTGCATGTCTTTATGGACCCCTTGTGGATCATAACCTGCTTTTCTCAAATGCCACCCAAGACTGCAAGGCCATGCTGGGCTCTTCAAGGAACTTACAACACTCCTTTTCCCTATACCAATTATTGAGTGGTCATGCAAATGTCTATACAAAGGGAAGATTGAGCCAAGACCCTCCTAATAGAAACATGAGAATTCAATAAAATGAAAAAACAATAACAAGTTTTCTAGCACGGATGGTAAATGGAAAACAATGAAATTAAGTACAGGATGAGACATCTTGCCAATACTTATGCAGACAATATGAGCACTATATTCCAAAAATAATTTGTCACCAATAACCTGTTCCAGGATTGCCAAGAAAGGCCATATGAGGGGAATTCTACACCACTTTTTTGAAACGTTATTACTAGAAACCCAGAAGTAAGCAATTGGAGAAAAAGATCATCAATACAATAATATTAATGCCCTTCAATCCCCTTACATATTTGTCACATAAACTTCAAGCAAAAAAAAATAAAAATACAAATGATCAGCAAAGAGAAGCCATAAAAGTAATTCTTTTCGTGCAAGTCTAAGGATATAGTCTTCACCCTGAAAATCCACCCAATTCCTCTTCAACCAAAATAAACCAAAAAAACAGCGAAATTTTTTTGCCAGTAAGCTTTACCCTCCGGAGAAATCTCCGATTGGGACTAGCATATTCAACACCCAAGGCACTATGCTTGTATCAAAATTTTCTCTTGACTCTTATTGTAGCTTGCATTTTTTTTTTTTGAAACTTTTGTAGCTTGCATTTTGAACAGAGAAAAGGTACTACTATAGCTAAAAAATGAGGATTTAGCTAGACTAATAATCAAGCTAATCTAAAGTTGTCATCTTTTCCTACAACCCCACTAAGCTTATTTCTTTCATAAGATAATCGACAAACCTTTCATCAAATCATGATTCCTCAACATTACTAGGAAAGGTTATAGAGAAGCTTCAGATTCTGATCGAGTAAGTTCCTGAGGCGACGATTCTCTGATCGCAGAGACTCTTTTATCTGGGTCGGAGGGACTGTTATCGTTGGCGGGGACGTTGTGGCGGAGATGCTGGCGGCATTCGACGGCGGTCCAAGCGATGTCGGCGACCTCAAGCACCGTCTTGGCCACCTCAACGGCGTTATGGCCTCACATGATTTGATTTTTTGAGAATTGGATCCGTGAATTTGGCGAATCTTTGGTTCCTAAAATTTATAAACGGGGATATTTTCCTAATAACAATTTTTTTCCCATCTATAGTTTACGTACAACCAAACATAGACTTTATAAAAGTTACCTAATTTTTTTGGTTAAATCTTTTTCAACCAAACAACTTTTTTTTATATTTTCCTACCAAACTCATTTTCCTACTGATGCCTTGCTAACAGTTGTGCAAGTAATGCGTGCAAGTATACGCGACAACAAGTAACATAGGGGTGTTATAAGTCTCAGTTATCGTTCCCACAAGGATCGTTGGCGTTTTGAAATAACTAAAATTTGTAATTGCTTAAAACTGAGTTACTATTTGAAAATAAAAGAAATAAAAATTGTAAAGTAAAAATAATCTAGAATGGACCTAAAACACTACTGTTCACTTTTCTTTTAGAATTTTCTGAATTAGTTTCCTAAGTTATAAAATAAGAAATAAGAAATAAGAATGAAGCAACTTAAATGACAGATGTGACAAAAAAAATTTGAAACAGAACAAAGATTGAAATATGAAATAACAAAGGAAATTGGAAATCTGAGTTGATAAAGATGTTCAAAAAGGTGGGTTGAGTTCTGACTCTCCTTACCCACAGTGCTTGAAAAATAATTTGATTAACAAAAAACTCATCCTAAGATTCTTAGTTAACAGAACTGTATTGTTAATTTTAATCTCTTAAAAATTATTTTATCCCAAAGTTGCCCACTTCTATATCTCTATGCCAAGTGGGATTAGGACTCTTGAGACTCAGGTTCAATATTACATGAGGTCTCATTCATTTCTGAAATGAGATCCCTTAAATGATTTCTCATCTAAGTCCATGTGTCTAATGCAGATAATTTTAAATATTAGAAAAAGCATTAAACAACTGAGATAGAAAAATTAAAACCAGAAAACCAAACATTTAACAAGCACTGAAGTTTGGGTATCACCTAAACTCAACCTCTAAAAAGTTAGCCACTATCCATAGAGATGAGGCTTACAAACAGTAACAGAAAACTAAAGAAATTACAAAAGAAAAATGCTAGAAACTAAATTACAGCACTGGCCTAACAACCGGCAATCTCAGTGTTGTAAAGACATGCATCAAGTTCATCAGATGAACCAGAATCTCATTACAAAACAGAACTTAAAAGAAAATAAAATTAAAATTGTTCAGAAAACAATAAAACTAAAAACAGTAAATCAGAACCAAAGAGAAAATAATCCTGCCCATGACTCACTCTTATTTTCCTTTTATATATGGCTCATTTCCTTCTTTGCACGATTTTCCTCTCCAGCGCAGCAAGTGTCACGCGCTTCCCGCGCGTTGCAGGCAGGTGGTCCCTAGCAGCTCCCTCCTTCGCTCATACAATCTGGATGGAACTGTCGCTCCTTCAACCCGTACACTGACGTGTGCTCACAATCGCTCCAGCCTCCAACTAAATAACGGATCTTTGTTTGGCTTTTTCTGAACCCAAAAATAGTGGCTAGGGTTTTCATGTTTTCTTTTCTTAATGGACTGTGGGTGTGGGTCAAATTTGGACAGATGAACCGTGGACAAAGGATATTCTGACCTTCTGGATCGATTTGGGGCAGGGATTAGGGATGGAGGATGCGGGTTCTGATCGCACGATGTGTGAGTGCTAGGGTTTTCGTTTTTTTTTTCTCCTTTGCGTTTCTGATTCAGTCTTCTCTTTCTTTCCTTTTTCTTTGTTTCTTTCTTCTCTTCCTTTGGGCTTTAGTATTTTAGGTCCGGCCCATCTCTTTCTTTTTCCCATGCTGTCTTCTTTTCTTTCCTTTCATGGGTATTTCTGATGCAAAAAGAAAATGGGCCTGAAAAATGAAATGTTACAGCCCATTAATAATTAATCAACAAAAGATCCAACAACTCAATTTTTGGGGTATTTTACAGCAAAATAAATCTTTTTTTCTCTTCATTTTCCAATTAAATCATATACTCTAAGTCTCAATTAAGAGACTTATCACACCCCCAAACTTAAATTGTTACTTGTCCTCAAGAAACAAATACATTGCAACACCACAATTCTTTCATCATAACAGTTCCTTAACCATAAACCAAACTTTCATTTCTCATCAAACATGCTTCCAAACAGAATTTTCAAAACCTTCATTTTCAGTCAAACATACAACTTTGAATTACTGCTCACGAATATTCACTTCTCTTTTAACTTCCAGCTGCTTAAAACAGGCATCAGTTCTTGACTTGCACTAAAGTACATGAAATTAATTCAACAGAAAAATTCTCTTTCTTATCAATCAGAGGAAAGGATCACAGTTAAAGTATCAACAATTTAGTGATTGGTGTGACTTTAATGTTTACATGTGATCAGTGGCAATTGAACAATAGCAAAGGGAGACCATGACCCATCCTTACATAATACAGAGAACTGCATCTTCATAAAAGGCAAATGAGAATGGCTAAAATTCTCTCATCACACTTGTTTATCACTCAATTGTGCAGGGATCTGTTTAACTCACACCTTTAATGGGAATAGCCTCAACATAGGCTTGATAGGATGCTATGACTTTTGAATGACACACACATTAGACTCCAATCAGAGGGACTTCAAGGTTGTATCTTGGTTTGGGTTAAGGTGGGAAAGTTCTGGATGAATGGCTAACTCAGCTATGATGGTCAAGTGATGCAATCAGATAACTCAACTAGACATTTCCATGACTGCCAAAAATTTTACTCTCTTGTACTTTATATAATTTTTTTTTTTTTTACTAGACATTCTCTTTTTTATGGTGTACATTCACACCTTTTTCTCTTTTCTTTACCTTCAGCCATGGAACTGAATTCATTTTCAATGGATTGCATCTTCAAAAAAAAAAATAATTTTATTCCTTCATCATAGCTAAGTGGGAAGGTAATCATGGGCTGGACAAAATTGAGGGAGTCCAAGAATTAAGCTACAAGCTCAAAGTGGGTTATCAAAGATAAAAATTCAAGGTTGGCTTTTTGGCTGAAGGGGTTAATCAGAAGAAAATGTGCCTTCTTCATCTTGAAGCTTATTTATGCCTCATCTAATTACCTAGCATCAAATCAAATTTTGTTTCTTCTATCCCAAAAAGGAGCCTCAGAAAAAGAAATTTTAACTGTTTATGGATCAAATCTTCACCAAGCTAGGCTTATCACCAACTCACTTGCTTCTTGTTTCAACTTCATTCTCTGCCTTATTCATTTTAGCACTCAGTTTCCCATTGCTATTATCTCACTGCCCTCATTTCCATCCACTTGTCTTTTTTTTTACTGCCCT